GGTTCTAAACTTTTTTTAAACCTGGTTTCACAATCTAAGATTACGATCTTAAGATAAAGAGTAAATTAAACATAGATTAAAAAGCTTTTATTAAGTTTTTATAGTTCTAATTGAAAGCTTGAAATCAGAATTATAAAAACTTAACAAGAATTTTAATCTGTTTTTAATTTACTCTATCTTTCTTCAATTTTAAAAATTAGAAATAAATTAAAGGATTAAGGAGTAAATTGAACAAAGATTCTAAGAATTAAAAAAGATAAAGAGAGTAAATTAAATCGAGATTAAAGTTAATCTCGTTAATCATTGATAGAAATTAGTCATATTTAATTTTAATTTTCTATTTTATTAATTAACAATCTTCAATCATATATATATATATATATATATATATTCATTCTTAATTTTTTGTGTTATCTACTTAATCTTATCTATACATAAATATAACTTCATCTTATCTTACTTAACGAATAAATACGATCAAATAAGCTTTTTTGCATAAATCCAATACTTTCTTTTTAACTTCATTGTCTGGCGAGGGGACCATGGATGATTAACGGCTCCCTCAATAGATGCCGCTGCGCCATCCTGCCCCTCGGCATCGCTCGGCATGTCGGTTTTCAATTCTCCCGGTGACTCCTGGTAGTTGCACAAGCGGCGCTGACCTGCCATTGGTGTATGTATGTGTATAACAGCTGTATAGCTGATCGAGTTCGTTGCGTTTTTGGTACGGCTATTCTCGTGCAGGGACCAAGACGATCGGAGGCGTCTTTCGTGAACGGAGGAGGTGGAAGATCATCGCGGGCGGATAAGGCGAGTGAGCGAGCGAAGAAGCGAAGAGGAAAAAGCGTGTTTCCGAAGTGCGAGTGCTATGCCTCACCCACAATCGGCACAGGTGCCATCAAGATCGGTCACCCTGCTTCGACGCTCGCGAGGATTCGAGATGTAGCCCCTCTTCTCCTTCATCACCCGCCTATTCTCGCTGTTTCAGTGCTCCTGCTTCTTTTCTCGCTGAGTCCCGAGGAAAATACATACACACACACACACACACACACACACACACACACACACACTGTCTTTCTCTCTCTATCTCTCTCTTTCGCATTGTCGTCGCAACACCCTGGTCACATCGATGCGTCGTCACGCAACATCGACGGGCTTTCGTGCAACAACGCTCACGAATCTTGACCATCGCGTCGAGTCGTCTATGACTACGTCGCTCTCTTCATCGTCATCGTTAACGTCATCGCTGTCTCTCACAACAAGTGCCTTCTCTCGACTCCTGTCGTTCGGCCGTGCGAGCCTTCCGATCGCAGGGAAGACGGCGTGTATGTTTCACCTGCCCCGGCGGTGAACGCGACGACGATCTTACGATTGCACCTTTGTCGAATCCTGCCTGTGTATTCTGGTAAGTGGTCAACGTGGTGCTGCCGAAGAGACGAATACCTTTATATGATAGTGAGAAGATAAGAGAAAAAAAATGACTTTTATATAAAGGAACAGGTTTCAATTCATTGTGTCTCGAGTGCTACGTTCCGGATTGAAGTGAGTTTTAAATTGACGAGCGATGTATTAGTATTCACGTTAAAAGTTGAATTGCCTGTAATTGCAATAGAAATGTTAGATTGACTGAAAGTTACTATTTTTGTCTTCTAATATCCATTGATATCAATTCAAAAATTAATTTGAATTTTGGTTCAATTTCATCTTTTTCTAATTCTTAGAACAAGATGAAGAGTTAATTGTACCGAGATTAAAATTATAGTTAGAAACGGACATAAAACTGTCCAGTTAATACTAAAAATGATATTTGATCGTTTTTCTCAATCTTTCATGGATTTATGAAAAGACACGATTTAATTCTTACCAATGGACTTTAACACACTTGATCGAATGCTGAAAAACTAGGAGATTATTATTGAAATTTATGATTTATCTCTCAGATAGATAGGGGGGATAAATTTTTGGCAGATAAATTTTTTCTCAGGCCGTCATTTATGAATCGAGAATTAGAATAACGATGAGCGTGTATCTTTAGTCTCAAGACTACATAAGGAGCTATTCATCTACGAAATGGAAAAATTTTTGAGTCAGCACATTTTTTTATAGTAGAATAAAAAACGTGCGTATTATAATCGCGTGACTTGACATTGCACAACGCATCGTTGGCTATCGATTGTTTGCGCCCTAGATACGTGCAATTGTTGCGTGTCGTTGGACGCATGTATTTAAAAAAGTGACAATATTTACGTCGCGTTGAAATCTACGTGGTATTTTTATCGAGCGGAAACGTCATTGAAATTGTATAACCTAATTGAAAATATTGTGAAATTGATAATTATAGTGACACGGCAAAACTACCGAAGATTAGAGTGCAACCAGCATTTTTTTTCTAATTTCGGAATACGGTGTTCTTTGGCGAAATTGTATAGTCTAACCGACGATCTACGTGACAGCAACAAGCTAAATCAGCATTCGCTGATTCGTATACTTTCATCTTACATCTTATGCATAATTTACTGTAATTATTTAAATCGATAGATATTAGCATTATATATACAAGTACCATTAGGGATATTAATAATTTAACGGTATACTTAAGTTAGTCGATTAAAAATTTCATAATTAGAGTTCATTGAACTAGATTCATTAGATCTAATCTAATTTTCCATTATCTATATTCATAGAGGAAAATTCTAAGCTTATTTCAGATATATATTTTCTTTCTTAAATAGACATAAATCCTGAATTCTCTCTCAGAATGAATATCTATCTAAGAAAGAAAATATGAAAAAAAAGGTTTAGAATTTTTTTCTATGAATTTCTACAGATAGAAAATTAATTTAGGTTTAATAAATATAATTATTACTAATAAGATAATAAAAAGTGGCACTGTTAAGTGGAGTTTAAGGCTCAGATAATTTAAGAGTTTAAGGCCTGGTTGCACCAACGTTACTTTGACTTTAAGCGATACTTAAAACTCTCTCTGTCTCATTTTAAAATGAAAAAGAGATAGAAACAGAGAGAGTTTTAAGTCTCATTTAAAATAACTCATATAATATTTTTCGATTATTTTTAATTAAATTTTAATTCTTAAATCTTATATATTATATTTTTAGAAATTATATTAACGAAATTAATTCAGAATTTTATATTTTTTTTATAATAACAGAACAGTAAAAATAACATTGTATTTATAGTATATGGAGCTTGTCATATCTCACTTTAAAGTTGGATTATAAGATCCTTATTTGAAAATAAAAATTTTTGTTGTTAAATTATGAGAATTTAAAAATATCAAAGAAAAAAATTGTGTCTCTCAAGTAAGATACATTTACATTCGTAAAAGAAATTAAAGAACAATAGCCAGATCTATCCTTTAGATGTGTATAGACAAAAGAGAGAAAAAAACGCGTGTGCACATGTATAACTTGGTTTCTATAGCCATTGATAGCCGTCTATAGAACATGAACACTCAGGGGAGAGGGGGAGTTAAGTAAAATATTGATATCTTATGTTTATGGATATTGTTTTACAGAGAGATGAATCAGTTGGTTAAAACAGAGATGCATTGCTGAGAACGGCACGAAAAAACAAAAAAAGATTGTCATTCAAGTGGCGATCGGTACACAATCTAAGAGGCAAAATGTCTCAACTGAACATCAACACTGGGAAGCGAGGGAGAGGAGTTGCAAGTACCTCAGCGTCGTCCGTATCCGCCATGAGCAGCTCCACTGACCTGGCAAGTCTTTTCGAGTGTCCTGTATGTTTCGACTACGTGCTTCCACCTATTCTGCAATGTCAGAGTGGACATTTAGTTTGCACCAATTGCAGACCGAAACTTTCCTGTTGCCCCACATGCAGAGGTCCATTGGGTACGATGTAGTTTTCTTTATTATTGAAATTTAGGGTGATATTTCTTTTGTGCGTTTTTGTCGTACAAACAATTTTTCAAGTCTATTGATTGGTTATGGAATAGAAAGGACCTCTTTGTTCTGTTTATCGTACGACATTTATCATACGACAAAAACACACAAATGAAATAGCATCCTAACGAATATTTGATCAATATATAGTATAAAGATTATGCGATTCGTGGATTTTCTCCATATCCAGATCTATTCTTGGAATGCCAACGTTTCGTGAACTTTGCATTCCACTTCAGATTTGCGAAACATTCCAAGGATGAATCCGGACATGGAGAAAACTTGCGAAATACAATCTTTATGTAGAAAGCAGCCGTGGAAGCCTCAAAAATATTTGATCAATATGTGTACAGGTAACATTCGTAATTTGGCTATGGAAAAGGTGGCTAGTAATGTAATGTTCCCCTGCAAATACTCCACTAGTGGCTGTACAGTTTCGCTGGTACATACAGAGAAGGCAGATCATGAAGATGCATGTGAGTTCCGTCCATACAGCTGTCCTTGCCCAGGTGCGTCTTGTAAATGGCAAGGATCGCTGGAGCAAGTGATGCCGCATCTTATTATGAGCCACAAAAGCATTACAACTTTACAAGGTAATAAATTTATGCTAATTGTATCTTGATTCTAAACTCTAACACAATACTTTTGTGGAATGTTCTCTAGGCGAAGACATTGTTTTTTTGGCAACTGACATCAATCTTCCTGGAGCCGTGGATTGGGTCATGATGCAATCTTGTTTTGGCCACCATTTCATGTTGGTGCTTGAGAAACAGGAGAAATATGATGGACATCAACAATTTTTCGCGATTGTACAATTGATTGGCTCCAGGAAGCAAGCAGAGAACTTCGCTTACAGGTAATTGTGTTATTTATATGAAAGTATATAATATCTAACAAAATTCAAGATTTAATGTTTCCATCTCTTGTATAAACGTTTTTTAATTAAATTATCATGTGCAACAGACTAGAACTAAATGGACATAGAAGACGTCTCACATGGGAAGCAATGCCGCGTTCTATTCATGAGGGTGTGTCCTCTGCAATTTTAAATTCTGACTGCCTTGTATTTGACACCTCAATAGCACAGCTATTTGCTGACAATGGAAACTTAGGAATTAACGTCACGATTTCTATGGCCTGAGGAAAGCCAGAAAAAGCAGTGTAAAAAGAAGACTGGACATATCGAGCAGTCCTTAAGAATGTGCTAGGTGGGTGCAGTAAAGTATTCGAGTGGGACTGCTCGTTATGCATAGAAAATACTTCTTTTTATGTTACCAAATGGATATTAGCAATACAGAGACATAGGGAATGTTGTTTCGAGTATGTTGACGATACGCAGCATTTGGATGCTCAGTATAGGACCGTCGTTGAAAAGCTTTAAAGTATACTTGGATGTGATATTGATATATCACAGAAATAAATGTAATAAACATCTTTTCGATATATCCATGCTGTGACTTTGGAGCTTTGATGCTGAGCACGATATCGTTTTCCGAAGAAAAGAAAGTACCTGATATCCGCGCTATTGTCATATTACTCTTACTCATTTCATCGAACTTTCATTCATATCTCTTTGGGGAGATACATAGTCTAAAAGTTGAAATTTAAATTTAAAGGTGCCTTCATGCTATCAAAATAAATCACGTGATCAAAATTGACGCTTGATATTCGTCAATGTCTCACATGACTTATTTTGATGTTGACATGAAAAAGCATCTTTGGATCCTACTGACATTTTTTTTGTTTGTATTTTAATGTCTTTCTCGACTTAGTACAGCGAATATTACGAAGCAAATTTCAAGTTTGCTATGAATATTGTCTGTGCTATGAATGTAACTAGTGTACTTTATTTTCCGTCTACTTTTATATTATTATTTTTATTTATAAAAATTTACTTTCGATTTTCTAAAATATGTTATACTTTCGTCCTTCGTATATTTTATCTTATTAAAGGATCTGTATGTATGTATTTTGTATATAACGCGATAAATCCGACTTTTGTAATTAGCATGGACGGAACTGTTTTGTTATTTCGCATTATATAATGACACGATATCGTGCTTTTTGCGATTTTTACGCAAATAGCAGTGAAAGACAGATCAGTTTTTCACGATCTAGTCTGAATGTCGAAGCAAGATACTAATATTTTTACAACAGTTGTATTAACATTAGATGCGTTCTGAAATGTACTAATAACACTGAATAATTATGGCACGCTTGAATTATAGATTTGTCAGAGCTGTCAGTACATTTTGGGATGTACTCACGATATGGAGCAATGTTCAATTGCAGCAAAGTTCCTGTAAGCAAGAGGGAAAAGAAAATGAATTTAAAATGACTGAAGCAATGGTACATTAAAATATAAAAGGAACATTTTATACAATTTAAGTTTTAATGTACTTTGCAGTATTCTCTTTTTCTTTTGCAAATATTAACGTCACATGTCACTTACTCTTAAATAAAACTTATTTTATCAATATCGATGCAGAAGAAAAGAAATTATATATCACGTTCAATATCTATCAAATTCTTTTAACAAATTTCTTTTTTTTATAAATAAATCATATTTTATACAGAGTGCTATTATACAATGGATAACTCATTCTCATAATAAGATATAAAACTATAAAGATTTTCTTTATTTTTGTGATTTATGCTTCTCAAAATTAATATTCTTCTTTTATATTGTTATTTCATATAATATTGTATAAATTTTAAAACGTAATGAGGTATTTAGCAAAAACAGCATTAAACCGAATTGTAGAAAAAAGTCAATAATTTTAACGAACAACAGAAGGAAGATATGGAGAATATTGTTTTCTTTGGAGAAACAATTTAGACTGAAATGTAATTATATGAGATGAGAGTAGACTAAGTTGTAATGATTAATTATATATTTTTCATAGATTGTGAAAACTTGTACAAATTTTACTTTCGCCAAGTAATTCACATGTATTGTTGAAATAGCCTTATTGAAGGCTACTGACAAAGTTGGATTAATATCACTACATTCTATATCACCAGCAATTAGTTGCGAATTATTCATTGGTTTAATGCCCTGTAACGCAATTGTGAAAGAGAGAAGATTTCACGAGGTATAGACGACGGAAGCACTGTTACTGTAAATAAGAAAACTTATTATGTGATATAATTAGTATTAGTAATGTACATCACGACATGCCGATATTCACGATGTTGGAAATAACTCGAGGGAACCAAGTACACGGTGTGCGCGCACATCATAAAATGATTTTGTGTATATTACCTTGCAATGGATTATATTTATACACGTCTGTCAGGCGAATATTTAATTTTAACTCACGTTGAGAAATGAGCGTTCTTGGCGGTTATAAAAAAATAAGAACAGAAGAAAAAACGAGATCAAGCCTCTGAATATTAACGTTGATTGTTACATCCCATATCGAGACTATAGAGAATATCTTCCCGGACTGTTAGCGTGAAGCGTAACTCGACAAATTCCGGTCGAGATTGCGAAAACCAGTGAACTCGTATTGAGATCACGATGCGATTGGTACAAGAATTTTGTACGGAATCATCGTGCGATATAGGGAAGAATTTTAGATGTACATGCTAAATTTTTATCTCTGCAAACACGGCATTGGGCGGGGACCTAATAATTTATATTTCGAGGAAACGCATCACGTTGTTAAGTACTTTGTATATACGATATAAGATAAACAATGTAGCGTAATCCTTGTCCTTTAATCAAGTAGTAATTTATTCTGTAGCATTCGCGATGGCTCCGGCGATTGCCGTTTCATTGAATACGATTATAGGAAAAAGAAAATTTTTACGTTTTGATTCTCCTGATGAGTATATCTATTGTTTTGCTTTTATCGCAGAGAATGATTGTGTAACATGATAATCTCAAAAAGATATAAAAAAAAGACGAGAAAATTGATTCGTTACGTTATAAGAAATGAATGAGAAATAAATGGGTTGATGAAAATATGTAAAACATCGAAGGCTTTAGCAACTTGCTGTCACATAATAACGTCGAATGAATCTCATCGTTATTTTGTTTCTGCATGAAATTAAAAGCGTCTTAGATCTATGTTACAGTATAGACTTCCCTTTTTATTTGAAATACATTGAAATTACCGGAATGCTGGGAATCGTTGATTTTTAACGGAACTTGGTTCACGAGATCTGCTGTTTCAGTTGCGAGAGGTGAAGAATGTAATTGTGCATACATTTGGCATATACCCAACATATCCCGGATAAATCGAACGAACGAGAACGAAAGATTTCCTTGTTTTTGACGACACAATTTGCGAAATCACGAACGAATCGTTGTGTCGATTCGGCGAGTCTACAACAGATTCTACTACAAGATGTCTAGTGGAAGAAGTCGGCGGTACTCGTGTATTCGCAAAATAGTATAATTGTCGAGAGAATAGCTTTATTTAAATATAATGTATATACTTATATATGCATTTATAGAATCTACAAAATGTTCAAGCCATGTATAAAAAGCATGAATAAATTTTTTTTTATAAATACTTTCCTATCATCCTACCGTTTTCTTATTTTGTATTTTAATCTTCAAAACTGCTTTTTTATCATATATTTTTTGTCACAAATGTATATATAAAAGCTTATAACTAAACAATTTAGAGAATTAATAGGATTCATTAACTTGTTATAATATTTCAAATTATTATGATTTTATTTTGTAATCATTAATTTCATTCACATCTAGAAATTTGAATTATTGCAGATAATAAAGAAGATTAAATAATTTTAGCAACATGCGATAATTTTAATTGAATGAACGAATAAAACTAATGAAATAGAGAATAAATATCACAAATATTAAGAATGGCTTGTAGGATCAATATTTTATGGAAAATATAATTATTATTCCAATACATTTTATAATCATTTATAAGTCAAATTTTATATAATTTCATATACAAGTAAATCGTTTTTCCTAATGAACTTTCAATACATTATTAGATAGCCTCGATACGGACTAAAAGATTAATTAATCAGATTAAATATTAATAAGAGATTAATTAATTAATCAGATGAAATGATAATTAGTTATTGTCTCATACCTTCATTGAGCTTAAAAATTTATTTTATTTATTTAGATTTTTTTCGCCTTGTATTGATATATGCTTCATGCACGTGCTTATTTGAGCGAACCGAAGCAAGCTAAACATGTGACGCGTTGTATGGCGCCGCATGCAATGCGGAGTTTGGTTATGTTCTTTCTCGAATTTGCACGAATCTAATTTTTTTTTTATTTTCATCCACGACTTGATCAGTAAAAATGAACTGGAAAATCCCAAAATCGCTTGTTTACACTTCCATGGTGGCGACTACCGCCGGCGTGGCGTATCTGACGAAGTATAGTATTGCTGGAAAGTTACCTTAAGATTTTACACTATAAATCAATCATTTATTTCCTTTATGTTTGCTTTTTATTTTAATATTTTCAGTATCTGTAAATATTTATGCTGTAAAAATATAAACAAAATTATTCATATAGCTATAATTTTTAATATACATAATCTTGCCATTCATACATATAATGTTGAGACAGTTTTTGTTAAGACAGTTTTTTTGTTGATTGTTAGGATAACTAAGACAGTTTTTGATTTTTTCGTTGCTTTTGTGACATAAAGAGTAAAAGTGATGTCAAATTTGTAGGGATTATATAGGAGGTCCGAAATATGAAGGAAAAGAAGATCTAGTTGATAAAATAATCATTGTGACAGGAGCCAATTCTGGTATTGGAAGGGAGACAGTCCTAGAATTAGCCAAACGCAATGCAAGAATTATTATGGCATGCAGAGACATGGAAAAATGTGAAAGGGTAATTATATTGTTAGTATTTACTCAATTTATAAATTATGAAATTGAATAGACATTATATATTGTAATATTATAAAAATCGATTATTTAACTTCTTTTATATGCTTTTATATTCATTTAAAATAACTATATTGTTCAGAGCAATATTTATAATTTGTTCTTATTTCAAGACCGTTTTGTATTTAAGACAATCCTAAATATAAGATTTGACTATATATCCATCCTATATCTTTTTATTATATTTTATTCTTGTAGGAACGCCGAAATATTGTACTCGAAACGAAGAACAAATACATTTATTGTAGGAAGTGTGATTTAGCATCACAAGAAAGTATTAGAAAATTTGTTACACAATTTAAAAAAGGTGATTGATATTTAAAAGTATACAGTTAGAAATTTTTTGTTTTTATTCAAATATCTTATTTTTATTCAAATATCTTATTTTGTTTATAGAGAACGATAAACTTCACGTACTTATTAATAATGCTGGTGTGATGAGATGTCCAAAGAGTCACACTAAAGAAGGCATCGAGATGCAGCTTGGAGTCAATCATATGGGACATTTCTTACTCACAAACTTGCTTCTGGACGTCCTGAAAGTATCTGCGCCATCCAGAATTGTAAATCTAACCAGTGCTGCTCATCGAACAGGCCAAATAAATATGCAGGATTTTAATTGGGAAAATGATTATGACGCTGGTAGAGCATACAGTCAAAGTAAATTAGCTATAATACTTTTCACTCAGGAATTGGCGAGCAGATTGAAAGGTAAGTTAATATAATTATATAATTCTCATTATAATTTTCACAGTGATTACCGATGTACACTTATTTTTCAGGAACCAATGTTACTGTGAACGCTGTCCATCCCGGTATAGTTGATACGAACATAACGCGGCACATGTTTGTATACAACAATTTCTTTACGCGAATACTCCTGAAGCCATTTGTTTGGCCATTTATTAAAGCACCTTGGCATGGAGCTCAATCTGTTTTGTACGCAGCATTAGATCCTAGTCTTACAAATGTTTCCGGATGTTATTTAGAGTAAGCATCATCGAAAATTTAAAAAAATGTTAAATGTCGCAAATATATAATATCAATGTTATATTTACAGTAATTGCGAATCTAAGGAAGTATCAGAGGAAGCAAAGAACGATAATCTGGCAAAATGGTTATGGAAAGTCAGTGAAAAGTGGACAAAATTAAATGTTATATAAATATATACTAGAAATATGCAGCTGCTGATTACTAACTAATTTGTTTTAAAATATATAATATTAGTCTTTAGTAATTACATGTTTCTAAAATTCCTTCCATTTAGAAAATTCGTTTAATTTACATTAACGATATAAAATAAAATAAGATGTTTTATAGAAATTTTTCACGCAATTCGAAATCCATACAAGAAATTTTTACTTTTGTACTTTTATTGAAATTCCAGAGAATGGAAAGTTACTTTTTAAAAGCAACTTTGGTGACTAAATTAAACATTATCATTATTTAAAAAAATAATAATTTGTTATTTTTTCATTATTTCTTTAAGAATTCACTATTCCCGACTCACAATTAATGAATGGAGCACAGATTAATTCGTATAACATTTTTCAGTGTTCTCTTGCTACGATTTTATCAACAGTTTCAAAAAAAGGATGTAGCATTGTGGCCACGTAGTACCTAAATTGAAAATGGATTCATCGATGGCGCTAATGTATGGATTTCAACGGTGTCATGAAAAATGCCGGCACAAAAAAAAACTGGTGATGGAATCATGGCATGGCGTTTTTTTTGGTTGCATTAATGCGTGTTTCCATGATAGAAACATGCGTGTTTCCATGCTGATATGATAGGCAAACTTGGGCGAATTCATTCGATGTACCATGTTTCTGACATTTCCCTGACTACGGCGCAGTGTACGAAGTGGGATTTTGCTACACTGTTTTAAAAGGATGGTGTAGAATCAGTCACCAGTGTGACATTTAAAATTTGAAAATAAAAGTTAACCAGGAATAGAATTTAGCGCAATGATGAAGTATACAGAATGGTATTGCAGTATAGTGTAGCGCTTACACGCAACTGGTGGACTATATCCAGTGCATTCCAAAGGAATAGTCAAGTTTCTCCCTGCCTGTGATTAGTCTAAAATAAATGAATTTAAGAAGTGTTTGTTCAAACAAATAAGTTGAACAATTTGCATGTTAAATTTACACCCTAATATGATATTAATATCTCTAATATCTCTGATTAATAATTTCATGTTACAGCATTGATCATTGATGTATCATCACGATGTCACATTTATGGAAATCAGCAGACAAAAGCATTCAAAAGAAAGTGCTAAAGTCGGATGTTTTTACAAAGAAGCCAACGGAATGCTCCACATGCACTATTATTGTAGAGAACATAAACATTACTGGAATGTCTGAAACGGATTTGAAAGAGAAATATCATACTAATATTCTTGATGGAGAGTCTGAAAAAATGATAGTTATAGGAGAAGCTAGCTCAGAAATTGATGAAAAAATCGAGAGAGTAATTTGTATGATGAATATCAATGAGAGGAGTCTTGTTACCATTGCCATGCCTTTAAAACAATCAGATGAATCTGTAGATAATAATGAATCTGTAATAGTTAAGTTTGAGATCACATTGGTTCTTTGTAAACGCCATAAACCAGTTTGGGACTGGAGCGCAGAAGAAAAATATCAAGTAGCTTTGAGATATAAAGAAAAAAGTACTGAGTTATTCAAGGAATCCCGAATCATAGATGCATTCCGCAGATTCAGCAAAGCTTGCAAGCTTCTCATAACATTGGAGCCGATAGCTGACTTAAAATTAGATAAGCAGTTGGAATATAATATTAATAATTTAAGACTTGCGTTATATAATAACATGGCTATATGTCAACTGAAGCGAAAGAACTATCAACATGTTGTTACGCTATGTACAAAGGTGTTGTACAAAGATGAGAATAATGTTAAGGCCTTGTATAGAAGAGGAGTAGCATATGGTAATATGGGAGACAACGAAAAAGCTACAACAGATTTAAAGGCAGTACTTACTTTAGAATCTACTAATCACTCGGCGAAAGAACAATTTGATGTGTTCAACACTAAATTGCAAGAATCACTTCAGAGAAATAAAGATATGATGAAGAGAATGTTTAAAACTTACTAGAATATTTTTTTAATGTTTTGTAATTGTACATACGAATTTATTTCTCTAAGAAATAAAATATATTTATTTTATAAACAGGAAAATGAGATTTTTATTTATTTTTGTGATAACTTATGTTCGATTATTTTAATATTACTATCACCATTGTCATCACATAATT